GGCTGAAGTGCAGATACAGAGAAAGTTAAAAAAACAGGCCTGGCCTCATGGCACAATTTGGACATAGGTTATGTTTATATTTCCTATCCTGTCCCTTCCCCCAACATGTTGAGTGAGTTTGTACCTTTATTCCTTCTTGTCATCAAATGCTTTCATAGTGTTCTCTGGCACTCCAGGGTTGAACCCATATTAATATTCTATTTTGCAAGTTTATCCTTGTAAGTTTATCCTCCTAAGGATAATAAATGTACTCATATTATGTTCCCTTTCCTTGAGAACTAGGGTCATAAAACAATTGCAATAAAGTAACATAAGCCACATTCTTCTAAGTATTAATAGCATAACATTTATCATGGCTGTGCATAAATATGGCTAAGTATCAGATTCATGTGGAAGCCCTTTTAAATCTATAAATTTCCAGATTTCATATCTTAGAGATTTGTTTTTCAGATCTTGGACAGGTTCTGACAGTCAAAAATAATAAATACACAAAAAAGCTTCTTGGATGATCCTAGTACCCAGCTACATGTAGAATCTACTGACATAATACTGTTTTACAGTTGAGTATGTAATGGATATCTCCTTCACTATTAAATTTCTTGATGGCAGGATGGCAGGGACTATGTTTTTAAATTTTGCATCCTTTAGTAGAGTTCCTTGTGCATGTCACAGTAAGAGCTCAGTGACCATTTGTAGAACCCAATTGAATAATGGCTGAAATTTCTTGCCAGTTATAGGCATAATGACAGACTTTCTTTCCTGTGTAGTAACTAAAAATACTATCTTATGATTTTCATGCTGTTATAGATACTACAAATATTCTCATTTGAATTAGTAGTATATGAATTAACTTCTCTCAAACATATAAAAACATTAGGCATAAAAGCATCAAATTTACAAAAACTAAAAGAAAATATAATTGACTTTTTGAGGGCTTTGGGAATTGGTGGTGATTTTTTAAGCTTAGAAAACTTGGATTAATAAAGACACATATGTACTCCTCATATGATTTCAGCTCATTTCCAGTGCCTTTGGGTAGACATTGCCAATAGATGAAGGCACTCTTTTTTATTAAAATAGGACTTCACTTTAGAATCCTTCTTAACCACGTATTTATACAACCAATAAGAAATTACGTGATAAAGTAGGTGAATTAAAAATGAGTTGTCTATCTTTGAAATAAAAGAAGAGGTAATCAAGTTTGATTTTAAGATGCCATTTCTTAATTTTTTAGGCCTTTCTTGCCTTCCATTTGAGTGATCTTTTTCTTCCCCCTTTTTCTTTTACTAATTTACAAGTTATATATTTCTACCTTTTAGTGGTGTGTTAGTGGGAGACTACCTTGATACAATGGTGTCTCCAAGTCCTTTACCAAAGGACTGGCCCAGACAGGCTCACAGATCAAAGTAAGATGCTGAGATCACAGTTTATTGAGTCAACCTAAAGGATACAGCAAGAATCAAGGGGAAAGGGGGAAAGTAGGTTAATAATGTACTTAGGAAAGGGTGCAATTAGTATAGGATTGAATTAACTGAAGCCTATTCTATAAAATGTTTACATGTCCTCTCTTCTATTTTTCTGTATTAATTCTTCCTGCTAATATTGTGATTATAAGGACCAGAATTGCATATAAACAAAGAAGACTCGGCAGATGAGGGTGCCTAGAGCCAATTTATATTTTCTCTGCAAGAAAGACTCAGAGACTGGTCTGCCTGGCTATAATTGTGACTCACCACTGTTACCTGTTGAGCACCCATGGATTTTATCTGTCTTGAGCAGAGGATATATGGAGCCAAAATGGGGCCTCATTAATATTTGGTGCCTTGGGTGTTTCATGAATATTTAGTGCTTACCCAGTCCTTCCATATCTTCTTGTTTATGCACTCAGTACACATATACTCTACTTATCTTATATCTAACATATCTATGTATCTCTTAATTAATTCTTCCTTTCTTTCATTTTCTAGTCCCTGAATTGAATATTCTCAAATGATGTAGCAAATACATATGACAGGTGTCTTGAAATTTTTAACATGCATACTTCATTTTACAATTTCCAAAATTAATAATAACTGTAGCCTCCTCTCAAAAAATGGAATTTAGAAACAGAGTATGTTCGACCCTGACTTCCTCTTCTTTCATGTTATAGCATCTTAATTTTCTTGGTTATAATACATTATTTATATGTCAATACTTAGTTTCTCCAAAATTTTATTCAGTTTCCTTGTTCAATATTTCTTCTTATATCTTGTTTCTTCCTTTCAGATTCAATTTCCTTCTTATTGAAGTACATCTGTCAGTCGTTTCAGCCTACGTCTGTGAATGGTAAACTCTAGTGGTCTTTATCTGACAACTTTTCTCATCCTCATGTTGACAGTTTAGTTGAGAATATAATTTTCCATAGCCCTTTAAAAATTGTATTTTAATCTTTCTTTTTACTAGTGGCAGTTCTATTGTCAATTTTATTTTTGTTTCCTCATAGGTAGACTATTGTTGTTGTTTGAGACAGGGTCTTACTCTGTCACTCAGGCTGGTGTACAGTGGCATGATCACGGCTCACTGTAGCCTTGATTTCCCAGACTCAAGTGATCCTCTCATTCAGCCTACCAAGTAACTGGGATGACAGACATGGGCCACCAAGCCCAGCTAATTTTTTAAATTATTCATTTTGGAGACCATGTTGCCCAGGCTGGTCTTGAACTCCTGGGCTCAAGTAATACTCCTGCCTCAGCCTTCCAAAGTGTTGGATTTCAGCCATGAGGTACTATGCCCAGCCTATAGGTGTGTTTTCTTTCTTGTTTTGCTCTTAGGAATTGTTTTTCTTGTTTTGGTGCTCTTTAATTTTAACTAGAAGTGTTCTGATATTGATTTTTTTAAAAAAACATGTATCCTGTTAAGGACTTACTGCATTCTGGTTCAAGTCTATCTTCATATCTCACACATTCTCTGCTATCTTCTCTTTGAATCAGGCCTACCCTCCATTTTCTTTCTTTTCTTTCTTTTTAGAACTTCTATTAAATATGTGTTAAGTCTTGTTATTGTATTATAAGGATATAACTTCACTTTTATACTCTCCATTTTTTAATCCTCAGTATAATTTCCTCAGATTTATTTTCTTATTTAATAATTATCTCTTTCACTGTGTCTAGTTCATCTATTTAACCCATCTGATGAGCTTTTTATTTTCAACAGAAAAAGCTCTATGACAGTAGGAAATTTGTGTATCTTATTCACTATCTTTAGTACCCAGAACACTGCTAGAACTCTGCAGATGTTCAATAAGTATCAAAATTATTAATAGATCAATAAATTCCTTTTTAAAAATATTTTTATTTTATCTTATCTTTTTCTTTCATTTGATTTTTATTTTCCTTTATGTTTTTAATCATTTTATGGGTTTTTCTTTGATAGTCACTTCCAGTTTTGTTTTTTTTTTTTAATTTTTTGGTAGAGATAGGGTCTCACTATGTTGCCCAGGCTGGTCTCAACTCTAGGCCTCAAGCAATCCTCCTGCCTTGGACCCCCAAAGTGTTGGGATTATAAATGTGAGTCACTATTCCTAGTGGTCAGGTTGCTTTATTAACTCAAGTTCTTTGGGCACAGATTTTTCTATTTCTTGTGTCTTCTCATCTGCCTTTTGGTAGATTGTTTCTTTGTGTGGTGTGCAAATTTTATTGAGAGCTCACCTTTACTGAAGGCCATTTATTCTGCAGGATTCTTTTGTTTCCTGAGTTGTGCATATGTCCTCATCAAGGATTCTTATATTTGCTTCTATAGGGCCTGGCTGTTTCTCTGTTTTTAAGCTTAGGATTCTCTTTTCAAATGATAAGGTAAAACTGGATTTCCATTGGCAGAGGCTTTCAATATTCACAGGAACCATTACTCTCACCCCTACTCATCCTAGACTTCTAAGGCTTCAAAAAGTGAAAACCTCTTTAGGGTTCTAGTTTATGCAGGAATGTCAGCTCCAGATCCTCATAAGTGGCTTCAGGAGCACATCTTTTAGTCCCAAATGGGGTTAAAACCTCAGCTCCTGGACCTTATTATTGTGGCTTTGAATTTCTTCTTCAGTTCTGGTATCTGAAGTCTTTGCTGTCTCTGTTTTAAACTCAGCTTTATATTTTAAAATACTTATACTCTATTCATTATTTCTATATATTTGGAGAAGGCAGGAGTCTCATGCCATGGGAAAAAAGGGAAAATGTGAAAAAGATGATTTGATTTCACAGGTTTTGCTAATGAATTTCATCCAACTTACACATGAGACTAACATTAAGAATCACCATATCATTTTGTTATTCTTAGAGTTTTTTGCAATAGTCTTATGGATATTACCATTAAACCCAATTCAATAAATAATAATGTGCAAAATATTTCAGGATATACAGATTACTAAGATAGTCTCTGCATTCAAGAGGCAAACATTGTGTAGTACAGAGATTAAGTAAATTTCATAAATAATCACAATGCAGGAAGCCTAATTGCTATGGAGATGCATATAGCTCTTTAGAATAATACATTACATGTATTATCAAACAAATTACTAAAATTGTTAGAAGAATGAAAAAGGAATCAGAAGAAGGTATTTTCAAGTAATAGTAACAAGAAAAACTTCATGACAGTGGTACTAGTTGAAATGTGCCTTGAAGAATGACTAGGATTTCTGAAAATAAAATCTATGAGGGAGGGGATGGAAGGGAGGTAGTGACTTTTCCAAGTAGAAAGAAAAGCACTAGCTTAGACAAGGAGCTAGAAGGGTGGAGGGCCTCCAATAAGGAACAAGTAACCAAATTTTCCAGGTTTGGATGTTAGAAAAGCAGTATTATTAGAAAGTAAAAATAAAGAAATGTAAAAAAACAATGGGGTATGGGGGTTGGTACAAGATAGGCATAAATTAAAGCTAATTTAATTTTAAATTTTTTACTGTCACATTTATCTAAAGAGAAAAGATAATGTTGGGTTAACTTTTAAGGATAAATTTAAAAACCAGGATCACTTACATTTTAGGTTGGGCAAGTTTCTTCTTCTCAATGACCTGATCCTCTAATTGGTTAGTTTTACAGTTTCCAGGAAGGTAAACTGAATCAGCATTTTGGTCTCTCAGGCATACAAGTACCATCTAGTGGCAAAGGAAGGCAACCACAAGAACGAAATTATTCAGGAAACATTTGCTTGTTTATTTTGAATTTTATTTACTAACAGAAGGCCATGTTCTACTTCAATAGGGAAATAAAGTACCCTTTAATCAAACATTGCTTGGTTATTGGTTTAAAAGAACAAATTGATTATAAAGAGCTTATTAAACATGAAATGTTTGAAAATTTTACAAGAACTTAATATCAAATTATATTTTGGGAATGAAACTTAAGGATCTACTTGAGTTTAAAGAGAGAGAGAGAAAAAAAAGAAAGTCCATGTAAATGAGGAAGAGGCAGAAATACTGAAGGTAACTATTTCTTTTTTTTTCTGAGATGCAGTTTCGCTCTTGTTGCCCAGGCTGGAGTGCAATGGCGCGATCTCCGCTCACCGCAACCTCCGCCTCCCAGTTTCAAGTAATTCTCCAGCCTCAGCCTCTGGAGTAGCTGGGATTACAGACATGCGCCACCACACTCAGCTAATTTTGTATTTTTGGTAGAGATGGGGTTTCCCCATGTTGGTCAGGCTGGTCTTGACCTCCCGACCTCAGGTGATCCGCCCTCTTCGGCCTTCCAAAGTGCTGGAATTACAGGCGTGAGCCACCGCGCCTGGCGAAAGTAACTATTCTTTTGGAATTTTCTCTGCTTTCACTTTGCCTAACTCCTACTCAGCCCTCAAATCTTTAGATATGTCTTCCTCTAAACAATGTTCCTTGACACCCCAGCTCTGTATTACATGAATGACTAATATCCTTCTAGGGACCACTATTCCCATGATGCTACTGACCACACTTCTTTGTCACTTCCCATTTTATAGCCCTCATTAAAATCGATAATCCTAAATAGCTGGTGCCATGTCTGTTTCATCCACTGTTCTATCCCAAAGGCTTAGGGTAGTACCTGACACATCATAGGTAATTCACAAATATTGATAGAATGGACACATTAATGAAGAAAGAGAATAACTGTGATGAAAATGTTCAAGGTACAAATATTGAAAGCTAGTATCAGTAAAGTTTAAATAAGAAAACAAAATGTTTTCAGAAAATTATTAGTTGAAAAAACTTTTTTCTTGTATATTAATTCCCTACAGGACATCCATTAATTTATCATTTCTGGTACTTTATAGTTTTCAGAGTACTTCTCTTTATCCTGGTGAAGAAAAAATAATAGTTCACAGCTCACGTATCATTACAGAGATCAAATAAAAGGTTACACATAAAGCATAGAGAAGAATACACAGCACATATTATATGCGCAACAGTTGGATTTTATTATTTCCTATACCTCATCTCATAAATTACTTAAAGCAGCACAGAGTCAAAGAAGGAAGCTATTTTAGATTTCTGTTTTACAAATTAGGAAACTAGTGATTATGTGATTATGGAAACTAACCATGAGTAATATATGATCATGGAGTCATATCAGTTACTAAGTTTCTAAATCCACAACATCTAAGTAATAGTTTATTGTCCCTTCTATGGCATCATGTTGCTTGCTTAGAGAGACAGGAGAGAAGAAAGGACATGTGGATGCTAAATAAGCACAGCATTGCAATGCAGAGAAGGAAAATAAATTATAAAAAGTGTACTAGCTTTTCTCTTGCTTCCCTAACAAATTGCCACAGCCTTTAGTGATTTAAAACAACACAAATGTATTATTACAGTTCTGTAGGTTAGAAGTCCAACACAGGCTGGGCACAGTGGCTCATGCCTGTAATCCCAGAACTTTGGGAGGCTGATGCAGGAGAATGGCTCGAACCCAGGCATTCAACACTAGCCTGGACAACACAGTAAGACCCCCATCTCTACAGAAAATTAAAAAATTAGCTGAGTGGGTGGCATGAACCTATAGTCCCGGCTACTCAGGATGCTGAGGCAGGAGAATCGCCTGAACCCAGAAAATTGGGGCTGCAATGAGCCATGATTTCCTCACTGCACTCCAGCCTAGGTGACAGAGTGAGAACCTGTCTCAAAAACAAACAAACAAACAAACAAACAAACAGATGTCTAACACACAGATCTCTCTGCTATAAGATCAAGATGTTCCCAGGGCTCTCTGTTCCTTCCTGGAGGTTCTAGGGGATAATCTGTTTCCCCGCCTTTTCCAACTTTTAGAGGCCATCCACATCCCTTCCTCCATCTTCACTGCCAACAGTGGTGGATTGAGTGCTCCCATCACATAATTCCAGTCTCCTCTTTTGCCTCTCTTTTCTACTTTTAAGAACCTTTGTGATTATATTGCATCCACTGAGATAATCAAGGAAAATCTCCCTATTTTAAGATCAGCTAATTAGCAACCTTAATTCCATCTCCAACCTTAAATCCATTTCTCCACATAAATATTCACAAGTTCCAGGGATTAGGACGACTGGGGGTGGGGGTCATTATTCCGTCTATTCCAGGGGAATAGTGGCAAGGGGATGAAAGGGAGGAGGAAGGTAGGGCAGTATTTTCAAATGGAAGTGTTAGAAGTGTAACTTCAGGCTATCCTCACATTGATCTTGGCAGACACTAAAACCTCTGGATGATTTTCGCATGGCTAAGCTAGAACCCATCCCACTTTGTACTTGTACTATTGTATTTTTCAACTTGAATGTAGAAATTTTCATATATTTCTGCTAAATTTTATCTTTCAGGTTTTAGCTCACAGTTAAAATTGTTAAAATAATTTTGTTTCCTGGTTCTGTCTTCAGTCATATCTTCTATGCTATGTAGTTTTTGTTTCACCTGTTGATTCGACCAGAATGATTTCTTCACCTATGTAATTTATGAAAAATACGAACAAAAATCGGGGTAGAGTTATCCAACTAATTTTGAATTTACCTAATCATAATTAAATCAGGCCCCTATTTTAGGCTCATCCACAAAGATATGACAGACTGGATTAAATGCTTTCCTGAAATTAATTGATATCATGGCTATAAAATTCTATCTTCTCTCAAAGATCAAATAAAGAAGTGTGGTGTGACTTTTCTTAGTTTAGTCAGTCTGGTTCCAAGTGACCACCAAATTCTAATACATTAAACTATGGACTCTGGAATTTTACTTTTCTGTTCTACAGTTTTCAGTGTCTACCTTTTTACCATTTTTTAAGCAAGTGATCTATCATCTTTTTCATTTTTTACAGTTTTTCAGAACTCACCAGCAATAGATCTTAGGTTACATGTAAACAGCTGTGGGATGTAATTTGTCCCTGGAAACATGAACTTATTTGAAACAGATAGGTGTTTTCTTACTACCTCCTCACCTACCTCAAGTTTCAGTTCTCTTTGTATGTTGTTTCACCTTTACCAACGTAAAGTCCATTTTCTTTACTGAAAAGGGAAATAAAAGAAAAATTGAGTCAAGTTTCTCTTTAATGTTTTCATTATTCTCTTAGGTAAATTACAAATTTTGTGTTTATAAAAATTTATGAAGGTTTATTTCTTTCTGCCCTCTATTATAATTCTTCACTCTAATTAAACCAGTCTTTCCATTTTTCCCTCTTGAAGTTACCAGGTAACTCTAGTTCTCAATGATTTCTCTATAGCATTTTATAATTTGCACCACATAATTTAACAGTGGAAGAAATATTATCTTCCTTGTTTAATGCTTTTATAGTTTTTTTTAAAAAAAACTCTCAGAACAATTGTTCATTTCTTTACCTTTTTTCACTTGATTAACCTAGAAAGTTGGGAGATTTTACCAAGCAAGAATACTGGACACTGAATAAATACTTGTTGGTTAGTTAAGTTTTAAATATCAAATTTGGCTATACATTCTTCATATATCAGTCTCTTTGACTAATTTTTCTGTTTGGAGAAACAAAAAGGGTAAAATACTTAAAATTCTTTTTGTTGTAATAAAAACAATAGTAATAATATTAGTAGTAATAATAAAAATCAAACTAAAACTACCTTTAGAAGTCATTCTCTTCTCCAACCCCTCCCCTGTAACCCTCCAACAATTATCAATTAATCATATTACTGAGCTATTTAGTAACAATTTCAGCCACATTTGATATGTTAGTTTGGAACTCTATTTATTGGTAAAGCTGCTTGATTCCCTGCCTACTTTGTCAACTAAGCCTAAATTTCTTTATTTGTTTTAACTCATTCTAGACAAACATACCAATCTGAAATACCAAATACTGAATCTAAACTCTGAATATACGAACCACATCATTTCCCTTGAAACCTTTTTTTTCCTTGTAGAAATGCTAAATGTTTAAAAACAAATAATAAGTGTTTAATAATCATAGATTTTTAAAAAAGTCATGTAATTTTCAATGTATTATAATCATGCAAATTAATGTACTAAGTTGACAGTAAAAAAACTGTAACAATTTAACAATTTTGCTCTTAATTTTGGCAAAAATAGCATAAAGACTCCATTAAATAAGGCTTTGATGTCTAGCAAATTCAAAAGTAGCACAAATAGAATTCACTGTTCACCAGCAGGAGGAGGGTAGGTGGTAGGTTCGTATCTAGGGTAGCAAGTCTTATTCTCTTACTCTACATTAAATTCTGTCAAAATTCTGGTTCACCGTTATTTTTGCACAGCTAGGCAACTTGTTAAATCTCAATCTACAACTCCCCTGATTGATGTATTCCCATCTGATTTATTTGTCTAAGAAACATATTAATGAGATTTGGGGATTAGGGTTGCCACCATGGCAACCCATCAGTATGGCTTGTTCTCTTTCCTAGATACGGAAGCTCAGAAGAACATCTTCCCTGAAGCTGCTTACTTAGTACTGGGACCTGGTAACTATGGAAATTTAGACTGAGATCATATGGCTACATTGTTTACAAGGTACAAATAGTTTGATAAATAACCTGTTCAAACAGACAGTAAAATACGTCAGAGTCCATACATCAATTTATAGCAATTTTTTTATTAATAGGTCTTATTTAGTTTCTCTCTGTTAAATTATTCTTACAACTGCATTACATTTGTATTAGTCTGTTCTCACACAGGTATCAGGACATACCCAAGACTAGGTAATTTATAAAGAAAAGAGGTTTAATTGACTCACAGTTTCACATGGTGACGGAAGCCTCAGGAAACTTACAATCATGGTGGAAGGCACCTCTTCACAGGGCAGCAGGAGACAGAATGACTGCTGAGTGAAGGGGGAAGCCCCTTATGAAACCATCAGATCCTGTGAGAACTCACCCACTACCATGAGAACAGCATGGGGAAAACTGTCCCCAGGATTAAATTGTCTCCACCTGGTCACCTTTGACATGTGGGAAATATTACAATTCAAGGTGAGATTTGATTGGGGACACAGAGCCAAACAATATCACCATCATAATTTTGTCATTCATCCTATAAGGGGAATTTGATATCTTCCCTTTTATGAGTAGGTAGATTTTGTTGAGTGGGTGGTGACATTTTGTAGGGGAAATGAAAATATTTCCATATTCTTGCTTATTACATATGTTTTCTCATTGGTAGCATTAATCGTATTTACTGTTTACTATGATGCATAGGACTTGGAAATTTAAACTGGTATAAAAAGAAGCTTTCGGCTGGGTGCTGTGGCTCAGGCCCGTAATCCCAGTACTTTTGGAGGCCAAGGACAGAGAATCACTTGAGCCCAGGAGCTTGATACAAGCCTGGGCAACATGGCAAAACCCTGTCTCTACAACAAAATAGAAAAACTAGTCTGTGCGGTGGCATGCACCTGCAGTTCCGGCTACTTAGGAGGTGGAGGTGGAAGGATCGCTTGAGCCTGGGAGGTAGACGTTGCGGTGAGCTGCGATCACAGCACTGCACTTCAGGCTGGGTGACAGAGCAAAAAAAAAAAAAAAAAAAAAAAAAAAAGAAAAAGACAAGACAAGAAAAAGTTCTTAATCTCAGACTATTTACAATTTAATTGAAGAGATGGTACATAAACAAAATTATGTGAACAAGATGGTAGTATGTATGCAGTTGGGAGGAGAGTGAGATCATTTTTGTCCAGGGTGATAAGATTGTTGGAAAATTGGGTTTTGGTCATGTCGTTTTGAAGCAAGAGTAAAAGCATACACAGACAGAATGAATGACAGAGAACATTACAAGGATAAGAAATGTAAGAAACAAATGCCTAGAATAGTCGTAGAAATGAGTAGACTTCTGAAGTTAAGGCAGGTTAAGGGTACTAGTGAGAAGTGTTGGGGTGAAAGTATGGTTCAGTAACATTTTAACCAAGTTTATCTTTGACGTATATTTCTTTACTTGGCCTCAAACCCTAGGCCATTGAGAATTTGTAACTAAAACGTTCTAGATGTTTCAAAAAGGGACAGAATATATCATGAATAGTTTTCATTACATGGCTTCTTTAGTTTCCTAGTGTAGTTTCTTGAACATTCTTATCTCCCTTTCTCCCACCCCCACTGCTAGACTTTTTAATCCAGGGGTCCTCATTCCCCAGGCCAGGGACTGCTTCTGGGATCTGTGGCCTGTGAGGAACCAAGCAGCACAGCAGGAGGTGAGTGGAGGGCAAGTGAGTGAAGCTCTATCTGTATTTACAGCCACCCCCCATGGCTGGTATTAGGGCCTGAACTCCGTCTCCTGTCAGATCAGCAGTGGCATTAGATTGTCATAGGAGTGAGAACCCTATTGTGAACTGCACGTGAGGGATCTAGGTTGTGTGCCCCTTAGGAGAATCTAATGCCCGATGATCTGTCACTGTCTCCCATCAGCCCCAGATGAGACTGCCTAGTTGCAAGAAAACAAGCTCACAGCTCCCACTGATTCTACATTACGGTGAGTTGTATAATTATTTCATTATATATTACAAGGTAGTAATAGTAGCAATAAAGTGCACAGTAAACATAATGTGCTTGAATCATCCCCAAACCATCCTCCCTCCCCGGAAAAAACTGTCTTCCATGAAACTGGTCCCTGGTGCTGAAAAGGTTGGGGACCGCTGTTTTAACCATCAAGGATTCTGACGAACCTCTTTGAATTTTCTATTTAATTCATATTCCATAAGTAACACTTGATTCTTTGTCCCCACCCCCCCCCCAAGAATTTAGAAAGCAGAATGTATGTTGGGGAGATCTGGTTTAAATTCGAGAAGCAGAGAAAACAAAGACAAGTTAAAAAAAAATACGTGATGTACACAGGATTGACAGAATAAAAAAAAAGTCTTTCTGCAAGGGAATGTGACTATACAGAAATCTGGAGAGGAAAATACGTAATGTCAGTGTTAATAACTTTTGACCCCATTTAGGTCACTTTGAGTAACGAAACTCAAAACACTAGATATTTTTAGCAAAGTAAGTGCAGTATCCAGTCTCTCACAGATGCCATGTGTCTCAGGCCATTTGGCAAATTCAGCATCTGCCGCATTCCCAGACTTTGATGAGGACACTCCGCGAACTACAGGCATCCTCAATAGGAGGACGTCCCAGGTCGGGGTGTGAAGGCGAATGAAGAGGCTGGGGAGGGGAGGCAAGAGTTAGGGAAACGGGGCCACAGAACTCCAGATGCTGCGGCGGGAGGAAGAGGGGCTGCGGAGGACTCAAAACGCGCTCAGAGAGGCCCATCCAAATGCCAGGAGACAGATCGCAAGGATGCTTAAGAGGAGACGTGACTGGGTGAGGCAGATGAGGAGAGGGCAGTGGACCAAGGTCACCTGCTAAGAGGCGGCAGGTTTACCACTGAGACCCGAGCCCTTGGTTTCTGCCCGCGCCTCTAGAAAGAGCGTGGCGAAATCCCCGTTCCCAGGCGTGGAAGGCCCTGGGGAACAGCCACGAGGCCCGACTCTTGTGGCTCAGGGGCCCTGGGCAGCCGCGCGCCCCCGCTTACCACCGCTCGCCCCACCCTCAGGCGCGCTCCTCTTCCGGGCGCGATGCTTGCCTGCGTGCGCCGGGACGCGCAGGGCCGAGCGTCTGAGACGCGCCCGTACGAGGAGCGGCGTTTTCTAGGAGCCCCGCCCTCAGGTGCGCTCTGCAGGAGGCGGGGCGCGACTTCCGCGCCGCGAGCTTCCCTAGCTGGCCGGCGCGCTGCCTGCTCTGCCTGCGCCAGGAGCGCGCGGGTGCGCGCGGCCGCGCCCTCGCCCAGATCCCAGCTGGGTCACCGGGACTGAGTCAACAGACTGAGCGCGTCCAGGCCTGACAGCGCTGCGGATCCGGCCCTGAGGTGAGGAGGGCGTCGCGGGCGTCGGCGCTTGAGGCAAGCCTGGGACAGCCGTCCCTTGGGGAGTTGTGGGGTCGAGGAGGGGCTGGCCAGCGAGGGGCGGCGGGGAGGGAAGGGGAGTTCGGCGTCTGAGGTGTGGGGTGAAGCGGGCTCGGAAGCGGGCAGAGGCGGCGAGCTGAGGGAAACAGACCTCTCTCGGCTCCCGGGAAACGCGGGTTGCCAACCTCGGGGATGCGGTGGGAGCGCCCAGGATTCGGACGTGAGGGGTCGGGGCCCTGGGGCGGGGGCTCCGCGAGGCTCACCCGGGACCGGGTCCGGCCGTGGGACATCGGGACACTGCCTTTGCCTGGACGCTGTCGTTCCACCCTCAGCGGCGTCAGGGAGAGAAGGAAAACTATTGATGTAAATTTCCTTCTGAACAGCTGGGTAATGAGCGCTTGCTCTTCCCGGCGAGGTTACGCGCGGATCATTACCTTGTGTGTTAAAAGGAGTTTCAGTGAGAAGAAAATGCGCAGATCTCATGACACAGTTTGGGAGGGAAGTTCCCTGATCCTAAAACACAAATAGGTGCTCCAGGCATGGAAATAGGAGCTCCAGGCGTGGAAATAGGAGCTCCAGGCATGGAAATACTTAATTGGATCGGAAAGCTGGGCAGGCTGGAGCTATTAAGCTGAAGGAGGGTTTCCCCTGGGCTCCTTAGGCTTTGATTTACGTTTTAGATAAATAAGTCCGAAAATAATGAAGATAATAACCACGTTTACTTTCTACGAGGGCGTTCTGAAGGAATCTAAGGGAAGAAAAGTATTTGCTGGACTACAGCTTTGAGCCAGGCTGGGTGTTAGCTCTTTTAATTCTGACAGCATCCCTGTAGGGTTGGAGGGGGTTATTGCAGTTGGGCAGATGTGGAGAATGGGCCTCAAAGAGGTTAAGCCACTTATTAAGGTCTCAACTAGTAAAGGATGGAGTTGGGATGCCAGACTCTAATTCTGGTGCTTTATCCACTATATTTTGTGTTTGCCCGAAGAGCAATATTGTATGTGTTTTAGGGAAGACTCCATAGGAGGGAACCTTATTAGGGCAGTTAGGGCTTTGTGGGTATTTGTGTTAAAATCAAACTAAGGAGGTGTTCATCTTTGAATATGCCCTGTTTGAGTGTATTTCCTTTCAAACAGATTTAGTGTAAGGAAATCTTACATTCGCTATAAGATCAAATTTATTAGTATGTTCCATGTTTATTGCATGTCTTTTATTTTTAAAGAGACAGGGTCTTGGGCTGGAGTGCCGTGGTGCGATCAAAGTTCACTGCAGCCCTGAACGTCTGGGCTCAAGGGATCCTGCTGAATAACGGGCTATAGGCGTGTGTCATGTGCCCAGCTAATTTTTTATTTGTTTTTCAGAGATGAAGTCTTGCTATATTGCCCAGGCTGGTTTGTTGCATGTCTTTTACATTCCAGATACTATATTATGTGCCAAGAGTACCGTACTGATATGAATATAATTTATAATCTCTGCCCTTGAGTTTAGTTGAGAAGGTGATTGTATAAAAGAATTTTATGATACCGTACTAAGTCATAACTTTTCTAGTACGTAAATTAGTTGGATTAAAAATAGTTTTAAGGGCCAGCTTTTAGGAACCTATTATGTATAAGAAAATTTATTGGATGACTTGTCCTCTGTGTACCATTGCCTTGTTATTTTCTCCTTTAGCAAGAAACACTGTCATAAAATTTAGGTTAAATTATGTTGACAACTAGCATTTTTTTTTTTTTTTTTTTTTTTTTTGAGACAGGGTCTCATTCTGTCACCCAGGATGAAGTGCAGTGGCAGGATCTTGGCTCACTGCAGCCTCAACTTCCCAGGTTCAAGTGATCCTCCCATCTCAGCCTCCTGAGTAGCTCGGACCGTGGTTCTGTGCCCCTACACCTGGCTATTTTTTTTTTTTTTTTTTTTTTCC